CGATAGGCTGCAAAGCTATATATTTAGTTAGTGTTGAGGCCTTGCCCAACTTTCATTTTCAAAATCATGTCTAAGCCCGGGGCTTTTTTCATGGTGATAATTTCAAAAACCCAAATCACTTTATTAGGCATTGGGTTAAAAATGGAATTTTAACAATTAAGGACCTTTATAACGAAGATATTTTAAGTCTTTTGAAGATCTGAAACTCAAATTTGATATTGGAGGAACATATATGTTTTTTGTAATGTTGATAGTGAAACTTTGTGTCATGTACAGTGAGACCTCGGAAACCCGGAACCCAGATATCCGGAAACCTCACCTTCCGGTCAATTTTTAGAAAAAAACAATCTCTTACGTTATAAAAGTGACTGTCTATAACGGATATTCGGTTTCCGTTTCCGGACGGTACAATTTACAAACAAACCGGCTAAATCAACACAAAATTGACTCACCTATCCGCACGAAGCTTTGATCCACCGCTAACCGTGTGAAGGGAAGCGCGAGAGTCCCACGTGTTTTGACACGACACATGGTCTGCTAATCCGGATCAAGGTATTGGTGGTGATTAGAAGGCCTAGCTGACACTGAGTTAACCATTGAGTTCTAACTGTTAAGTTGTTTATTCAGTCAAAGTGAAAAAAGTGCAGTGTGTCGATATTCAAGTCAGTTGGTCTTTCAATTGATCACCAACTGGCTAGTCAACCTACTAAACGCAAGCGCTACGCAGTGACAGCCAAGGAAAAGAAAGAGATATGTCTTTACAAAGAACAAAATCCCAAAGTAAGCTTTGATAACATCAGCAAATATTTCGAAGGCCTACTCGGCTACTATGAGAAAAAAGGCGACCGTGAAAACCTGGACAAAATGTTGTCCGTCGTGTTGCAAAGGAGCGGCACCCAGTGTAAGCAGTCCTCAATGAAAGACGTTTTCAAAACTGAATAATTGTAAAGGTATGATTGTCATGTATATTGGGAATGTGTTGTAACCCAAACCTTCTGGAAAGAACTTGAAAACTGGATAATCCAAAACAAACAGAAATTTGAAATAAGAAAGACTTTGGTTTGGTTTGGTTCTTGGTAATAAGCCATTGCTAAATCATATAATCTTTTATGCTAAAAGTCATATATATATACTTGCACTTTAAAGAATAGAATTCCAAAGTTAATAATGTCTTAAAAATTTTAAAGACACTTACACGGTTGAAAAATTCATATCCAGAAGGAACAGTAATTTTGATAATTTTCAGAGAAATGGTTTCCTTTATCCTCAGTTTTCAATCTCTGACTTAATTTGTAATCAAACTTGAATAACTTTATTGCATTATAATTTCTTCATGCCACCAGTTGATGAACTTTGATCATGCATATGTACACTTTTTTGCTTTACTTTATATGCTTGTATTCAATTATGGGAACAAATGAAAAAAATCCCAAAGAGTTTAAGGTAGCTGGTCACGTGATCATTATCGTATTATAGTTTCAGACCATCACACCGATTACAAATGAGATATTCTTCAAGATCATTAAGGTTAACAACTGTGTTTGTTCAAACATGCCATAGAAAGTCAAGTGAGTGTATGAGTGTTTTATTTCCAACACGTGGGCGGACATACATACATACCATTGCAACCGCTTCACAATATATTATATGCACAAATATTCTACATACACAATGAATTTTAGTAGAGTGGGTCGTTTATGTTTCCGTAGTTCCACCAGAAGACATTTTGGATGATAAATATCACACTTTTGATATAATCATACACAATTAAGTGTTTCGCCATAAATTCTTACAAACTTAGCTGCAAATACTTGCAATACTGCTGACTCAACTTTAAGCAATATTTACGTATTCACTCACTAAGTCTTTTATCACTCCAGGTGTTTTGTATGCATGCGTTGGTTATGTACAGCAAGGTATACCATGTATACAGCTTAGTATTTCTAAGTAACCCACCTTCGTCACACTTTGGTGTGAAAGGTGTCAGTTGAGTTTACACAGGACCCTTTGTGTGCCCTGTTGATACTATTTACACTCATATGGTCCTGCTTGCAGGTGCAATATAGCCATTATGTCACTGCATTCACCATACATTACGGATTTCCATATTGCATAAATACCTACACTGAGCACATATCATCTTAACTTGACAACGACTGGTAAACACCTTTTGTCTTCAATGAATAACCTGTCAACACCATTCGACAGCTTAACTACTGCACCTGTGACAAACAAATGTACTATGTGAACACCGAGAGGAGAGAGCAAGATTCTCATTCGTCATGTGGAGGCACCTTTAGGACAATTGTGCATGTAGCTATGAGAAGTACCGCAACCTTGAATATGACTTAGCTCTTTGTCCAGAAAATGTATACCAGTTCAGGTATAAAAAGAGGGGTTTCTTTTAAACCCGGCAAATCCATAACATACCATTACACTGATTAACAGTTCACAGAGGTGTCATAGCTCAGCACAGTTATCATTGAGGTACACAGACCAAAATAATGTTCAACACGACCCCTACGAAACTACGTCAGTGTTAAGTATCATGTGCACACATCGCTCGTTGACAATGTTTTTCTCAAACTAATACATTGAAGTGTTCAAACTAATACATCGAAGTGTTCAAACTAATAAATCGAAGTGTTCAAACTAATACATCGAAGTGTAAAGAAAGGAAAAAAAATAAATAAAGAAAGAATTTTAATTTTTTTTTTCGTGTAAGCCCGGTAGGTTGCAAAGCTTTATATTTAGTTAGTGTTGAGAGCTTGCCCAACTTTTCAAAATCATGTGTTAGCCCGGGCTTTTTTTCATAATGGTAGCTACGCCCCTGTTTACCTTCGTCCTTTATTTTGCGCAAGGTACTGACAGATATACCAGTAGCATCGCTGGCTTTTTTGAGTGCACTGTGTGTGCTGTCGGAAATAGTACACATGTACTGAATGACATTGTAGGCAACCTCACGTGTTTGTGAAGGAATGACTTGACCCCGTTTACCCAATTTAGAGTGCGACATGATAAGTTTCAAATACCTGCAGAGTTTGATACTCTTTTAACAGTCCACTTTACAACATACTAGTATACACATGCTCGAGCAGAAACACGACATTTCCGAATCATTGCGCAGAGAGTGATTACTGCAAGGATAACAAAAATCACGTGCCCGAAGTTTTCACACCTGTTCCCCCTTCGAGTAGGTAGTGGATCAGTTCACGACACGCCCCCAGCTCTCCTTTAACAAACGCGTCTTTCGCGCACCTCATTCTAATGCTGGTTGGACAGTAGGAATATTTGTTTGTATCTGTTACATGAACAAAGTAGTTGGTGTAGAAGTGATAGAGTGTGAACATTTCAAACTCTGTGAACTGTACAATACTTGTCTTCAAGCAATTGAAATATGTTTAAGTTGTTTGACAAATAACACCATTTATTCACAACTATGAATGATGTCTTAGCTTTGTTAAGAAAGAGAACAAAGATAAGATGCACTTTAGACAGCAGACTTAAGAGTTTTTTCAGTGATTCTGAATTCTGATATAAATTACATTGAATTGTTTGTGAAAGAATTGGTGTAGAAACACAACTTCCCAAAGGAAACTTCAGTTTCAAATTATTTTAAGGCGTGCTGAACATGTTTGACTGTACTTACTTCAACATGAAATGCTGAAATTTTATGAGATCGACAGCTCTTTAAGTGTGTGTGTGAATGTAACACAGGTTTTAATGAGTTAAAACTATTTTTAGTCACGATATGGCTGAAATACTGCCACTGTGACTATAAACTTTAACTCACTCACTCACTCATGATATATCGTCTCGCCTCATTAAACTGGTATCAGGATATATCGTCTCTCCACTCAGACTACGAAGCACAGCTCTAATACCAAGTATGTGCATATTTACAAATTTACAACAGTACTTCACATCATTAATACATTGTAATCATCTTTTTCGAAGTATAGATAATGAAATTTGTGCAGCTATGTGAACACACCTGTCTGTGTTTTATTGCAATAAGCAGTCTCTCCTTGTATGTCATATATAAGAAGTGTACCTAAGGTCAATTATTTAAACTATAATGTAATTTCCATTACAAAAAGTATAAACGGTATTACCTACTGATCAGAAAGCCTTATCAGTACCCCGCCGCCACCAACCCGCCCTAGGCCTACCCCATCCCACACCCTCTCCCTCTCACACACATGCACACACACACTCCCTAACATGCATATCGCTCTGGCCCATAGACCCAATATTGTAACCTTTCAAACAGACATCATGTGTATGTCAAGAAAGGCAGGCACGTTAATAGTGGTGCTCAGTCATGGGTATCACTTCGCCATGTGTTTCTAATGATCTCCGTGCATTATGGCGTGGTCCGACGCGCTAACGAACCCGATGTGACAGTTACATTACAGAACCATTGAAATACATGTAAAAGTAGTGTTAATCTTGTAACACTATCTTTACCCATTACCAACCATTTACGTGTGTAATAAATATATGACAAACCTAACCCTGGTCATACGAGATCTCAAAGGTATTGAAATGCATGTCCTACAATCACAGCATTTACATACGTTACACATGCTAGAAAACACATGAAAACAATGGCCAGATTTACACACCTGTGAAATACAAGTAAATACAGAGTTGAGTGTTCATTTATTTTAACACCCCTTTAAACGTGTGTAAATCTGACAGCCAGATGATACGTAGATTTCCAACGTTGTTCATATGGCCGCCGGATGAAACGTATATTCCCTAATGTTAGTAAATTTGGGTAATACAGTCATTTTGTGTGGTGTTAGATACATGAGGAGACACCTGAAATGGGCTTCATATATTGTACCCATGTGGTGATTCGAACCCGGGATTTCGCCGTGACGAGTTCAGTGTTGAATGTTTCACGCAACTAGTGACCAGTTGAAACTGCTCTTATTCACTAAACGACAGTATAGACGGAAATCCTCCATTTTCCACCACACATGGTGCTTTTGTCTCCTGTACATGGCATAGAGCATTCAGTTTCTGGTGCCGGGCTCGTCCCAGGTCTAAGGCCATTCCCACAGAAGCATTCTTTTCCATTCTGCAATCAATAACATGTGCAATGCTACCAATTTGCCTGATTCTTTGTGAAAGCAACACTGAAACTTTGAAAACCCAATTGTATGTCTGAGCCTGTAAACCTTATTCAATGTCTTAGCCTGTAAACCTGATATGTATACTCAGCAGCAAAAAAAGCAACGTCAGTACGAATTCAAAATTAGATAGGCACTGTAATCAAATCATTACAGAAATGGACATAATACGCGGATCAAAACATTTGTGTGTGCAATATCTTGACACATCAATGAATAACTCAGCACAATTCAAAGACATTACGTGAACGTTTGCAATCCATTCAGACTCTTGATTTCAGTATCTAGTGTGACCACCACGAGCGGCAATAATTGCAGCACAGCGTCTATGCATGGAGTGCACCAATCGATTGATGAAGGCCATTGGCACCTGGAACCACACCCGGAAAGGCCTGGCGCAAAAATCGGCTGTGTTCGACCTTGGTATGTCTCCTCTGAATTTCATCCCAAAGATGTTCAATTGGGTTTAAATCAGGACTAAGGGCTGGTCACTGCATAATGTTGACACCGTTCTGCTGTAGGAAGTCCCGTGTAGCTCTGGCAGTATGGGCCCGGGCGTTATCATGTTGGAAAATGTTGTTCCGGTGACGTGCGAAATGTGCTATGACATGGGGTCTGAGAGCTTAGTCAATGTAGCGCACTGCTGTGATGCCGCCTCCTCTCCCTGGACCAAGGTTCTCGAACACCACAGGACCCACTCTCTGGTTCAGACCTAGTCCACCCCATACCATGATAGTAGTATTATAGGGGTCGCCAGGACCTGCTTTTGGTTGAGGGAGGTTGAGGGAAATTCATTGGCTGTTTCAAGTCACGTGGTCACCGTTAGATTCGACATAGACAGCACTTCACAGGTCAGAAAAGGGTGAATGAAAGGTGGTTGTTTTAAGGCAGAAAACCCTTCATGACTTTAGAAAACAAAAGAAAAGTGTCATGAATGAATTAATGTATAGCATACTGTCATGACTAGATAGACAGTCTAGTTCAAAAGGTAGTCATATCACCCTGCATTGACAGTAACACTGAATGCACGCTAGCTTTTCCTTTTAAATGTAACGTAATAAAAAAATTAACTTTAACCATCTCAACTAAAATATGTATCCAGTTTTAGTTCAGAGCGTGATATTTAATGGTTCGAAATACACATGGATAGAAACATATCTATGTCATTTAGAAAACTGATTAGTCATGTAGCACAGTGACAGCATACAGCTAGGTTTGTTGGGAAGGAGACAGAAGCAATCTATAAGAAATGTTAGTGGCGAGCCACGTAATTCATATTTACAATAGTCTCCTCATCCCTTCAACCCAGCCTGCCGCCCCCAAGTCTCCTCAGAAATAAGTAAGTCAAGATCAGCATGTGAATAAACCATTCCTCTGAAGGCTCCTTTTCAAGTATCCACAATTATACATGAATATCAGCCTGCCACCCCACACCAACCCTCTCTCCTCAGGCTTTTGTGATCTCTTGCACATGCGCCAATGTCCTTTGAGACTGCTTACAGTTCAGTTCAAGATGTCCATGGAAGCCAACGGTGAAGACCGTCAAGGATTATTTACCTGTGTGTATTGTAAGACCAAACTAAAATACACATACAATCGCTTTATAACGCATAGCCACAAGTGTGTTGTGAAGAAACCAGTGTCTTCTAAAATTCCCTCATGCACATGTAAGACAGAAGAAACTCTACGGTAGTGTAACCTGACAAACAGTTTAAATCTCGCCAGCAAACGGATTGGACGTGAACAACATGATGAAAGCGTCAGAGATTAGACTTGTCCCTAGAGATATATTTTAAAAGACCACGTTGAGAAAATCGTGACAGAGAAAGAAACCACAAGCACCCAAGAAGATGACGCTGAAGACAAAGAAGGGACAGGTAACAGCTAAAATGAAAACGGTGACAACCCAGAGGGGACAGAAGACAACACCCAAAACCATGAAAATACGACATATATCAGAAATGCAAGCTGTAGTGATGGAAGCAAAAGCTGCTTTGAAACGTGCGGAAGCTGACTTGAAACGTCAACAGTATAAAAGAAAGCTTGAACCCTGGTAATAGGGACACTTGTATTGAATCACGATGGGAGTGACTACCTGTCTGGACTGTGGGAAGAAGTTTACACGAAAAAATAATCTACAGAGACATTGGAAGCAGATGCACACTTCAAATCTACATCCTTCTCAAGAGAAACATTCTCCTCCTCCTCTTCAAGAGAAACATTCTCCTCCTCCTCCTCCTCCAAGAGAAACATTCTCCTCCTACTCCTCAAGAGAGACACCCTCTTCCTCCTCCACGCCAAGAGGACCAGCAGCAAGAACGGTTCAGGTTCCTGATTCCCTCGAATGTGCTCGTTGCGGGACCCAGTGGCTGTGGAAAATCTGTGTTTACCTCTCACGTGCTCCAACATGGCCTGATCCAACCCCAACCTACCCGCATTGTTTGGTGTTATGCTCAATGGCAGCCCTTTTATCAGGACATCAGCGAGCAGCTGCCTCAGTTCACCTTTGTAAAACGCATTCCCCACGATATCTTGGACGAGGATTACGATGATTCCGGGACGGAACGTGATGGTCCTGGATGAGTTCCTGGCCGAAGCAAAGCACGACAAGTGTATTTCGCGGCTGTTTAATCAAACCTCCCATCACAAGAATGTATTGATTTTTCTCTTGGTACAAAGTCTGTTTCCGAGAGGTAAAGAATCGAGAGACATTGCTTTGAACGCGCATTATGTCAGCCTGTTTCATTCCCCCATAGATAAACAGCAAATCAAACTCTTTCCTCGTAGAATTTTCCCCGAACAAATGAATCACTTTATGGCTACGTATGAAAAGGTTGCTGAAACACCCTATGGACAACTCACCATTGATCTAAAACCTACCACCAAAGAAAAGGATTGACTGCAGGTCAATCTCATTAACGAGGAAAACGGACAAGTCAAAGCTCAGTCTGAACCTGATCTGCCTAGGGAGAAGTTGACAACAACAGAATCTCTGGATAGTCCTCTGACTCAAGAGGAGAGACTACCCCAACATCAGCTCACTCAAATTGAAACCGATTGGGACACGAGTAGTGAGACATCATTGACTATGGCCACGGCTTGCGCAGATTGCGGGGTGCTGATAGATAACACGCACGATCTACAGCGACATATCAAACATTGGTGTCTTACCAATAGCCTTCAATCTAAGAGAAAGCGCGCCAGACTCGAGAGTGATGACAATGACAGTGACTATGACGACGTAGCCTCTTCCCAGAAAGGCATTGGTCTTGCCGTCAAACGTCCTCGTGGGAAGCCAACATTTACTGATATGGAAGCCGAGGAGTGGCAAAATGTAGGCTTACAACGCATATGAAAGCAGGTGTACGACATGTTTCAAGACAAGATGAAACTGCAGAGGAAACCGTACAAGCGACAGGGACGAACGCAAGAATGGATTGACAGAAGACTGAAACTGAGGTGGGAAGATCTACTGCGTAATACTCTCATCTCTGAGGTGGAATATACCAAGCACTTTAAAGAGGCACCTCTGTTTCAAAACCTGCTATAGCGTGATAGAATCTGATAGCGTTGCAGAGGATAACGACGGTGATGATGAGGAGGATGACGTGGAGGAGAATGTTTGAGGACATAAATACCGGTCATTAGTATATCAATCTAACAGTCAGAAGAGAATGCCGAGTCAACGCCGCACGTCTAGTTTGATTCATATTTTGAAAACACCTCATAAACTGAGGCGTTTGAACGATAAGGAACACCGAATTTCCCTCTACGTGAGAGGGGTTGTGAAACTGGGACCCCCTGGACGGAAATCGCTAAGGCAATGGATAAGCCTAGACTAAAGATAACCATTCAACCTTATAACAGCATAGGGAAGGTGTGAAATGTGTTACAACACATGGACTTGCTGTTTAATCAGGCCTTGAAGCAGCAGCATGTGTATATGAGTGACTAAACTGTTGACTGTAATGTTGCAGAGTGAACCCTACTGTTACTGCTACACGCACATGCATTCCTACATCATTCAAATGTTTTAAATACCGGTCACATTAAATATACACACAACAAACAAAACAAAGGTTTAATGAGGTGGATATATATCGTATAACTCAAATAACTCCCTTTCCAAATAATAAATGTACAATACATCTTCCCTAACTTATCATAAATACGGTGCACTGGTCACACAATTTATGAATGGGAAGCTTCACCGGTAGGCGCGAGGCCGGTATGTTGTCATTGTTAGGCCTGTATGTTGACATTGTTAGGCCGGTATGTTGTCATTGTTAGGCCTGTATGTTGTCATTGTTAGGCCGGTATGTTGTCATTGTTATGGGCGGTCAGTCGCTTATATCTGCTTCACACTAGGATGATGCCCATGTATAACCGTGGATTTTTCACAAGCTGACTTGTTTATTTCTAAGGAGACTGTTCTGGTTTCCTGGGGACATAAACTCATAAACGACTGTGAGGAAGTCTACTATACAACACTGACTTGTCCCTCTGTGCTGCTTGTGTACATTTCAATGTTAGCAAACGACTGTGAGACAGGCTAGATTGTATACTGTAAACAGTCTGAAGCGAACTTGTTTTAGATAAACTACATCTAAGGATGTCAAACGGATGACTATAACATAACACACTGGTCTGAGTAATGCTGGCCAGGTTGTCCCCATATTTTGTAATTCCGATGTGTATGTCTGAACGTGTAACCAGGATGTATTTGTGTTAATCTGTAACTCTGATCTCTATATCTAAACGTGTAACCTGGGTGTGTTTGTCTGAACCTGTAACCCCAATGTGTATGTCTGAACCTGTAACCCCGATGTGTATGTCTGAATGTGTAACCTGGATGTGTTTGTCTGAACCTGTAACCTGGATGTGTTTGTGTAAATCTGTAAATCTGATCTCTATATTTAAACGTGTAACCTGGGTGTGTCTAAACGTGTAACCTGGATGTGTTTGTGTAAATCTGTAAATCTGATCTCTATATCTAAACGTGTAATCTGGATGTGTTTGTGTAAATCTGTAAATCTGATCTCTATATTTAAACGTGTAAATCTGGATGGGTTTGTCTAAACGTGTAACCTGGATGTGTTTGTGTAAATCTGTAAATCTGATCTCTATATCTAAACGTGTAATCTGGATGTGTTCGTCTGAACCTGTAAGCCCGATGTATATGTGTGAAGCTGCAAATATGTTCTCAGATGCATTTGTCTACAATGGCAAGAAATATAGAAGTTTTACCTGATGAGAACTTCATTTGATCAATGGAACAAGTATTCTTGACTATTTTAACATTTTGTGTATCAAATGACTCCTATGTTTACCTGAGTTCCAAAGTAGGGATAATCTTTTCCTTGGCAATGCAGTTTGCAGGTTTCGGCTGTCATGCGTATATTGTCAATCATCAAGCCATGTGGAAGGACACGGTATTCAGCTACATCGACGTAACACCCAACGTACGTGTGTTGACCTGGAAAAAACGAAAAAACAGGTTACTAAGAAAAAGTGAGTGCGACTAGTTTTGCGCCGCTTTTAGCAATATTCCAGCAAAATGTCATGGCGGAGAACACCAGAAACGGACTTCACACTTAAAAAGAACAAATCACACTTAAAAAGACAAACATATAGAAGCTGTCGTTGAAATCATACAAATGCCGCCTTATGGTCATTAGACACGAAGAAAACACTTAAACTGAATCATGTAAGTATTAGAATTTGCTTGTATAAATTGCTTATATTGCTTTACACCTCACACATCATGTCGGAATCAAACATTACGCCCTTCAATACATAATGTGCAATTTGTTATTGAATCATGTTGTAATTTCATTTTTTTATTCAGTTTCATAACATTGTTTTTTAACAATACAATGAACTGCGTGGATACAAAAAAATTCTCTTCCTATATACTCGTCACTTGCTGTAGAATTCAGTCGATTTGCATTTAACGATAAACGGTTTTAACGAACTGAACTTACTGGTCCTGTTGTGCTCGTTGTAGGGCCCGTAAGTAGGTCACGGCACTTCGCGAGAGATTACGTTGTTTAGTACTTCCGGTGACAAACAACGTTTTTCGGCAATGGCGATAACACTATTACATGGGGTATGCCGTGGATAATCATACTCGACACTGGCTGTGTGAATCAGACTATGGACTGCTAAAGCACTAAGGCAATGTTGCATCCGAGACCATATTATATGGTCTCTGGTTGCATGAACAGCATGTGAATATTTGCCAAACAGATGCAGAGTTGTCACAGCGTCGTCTTCAGGCTGGCCCATTCATTAGTCGAGGTAAGTTTGTTAGATGGATTTCTTTGTTTTCATTTAAAGGCTGGTATTGTTTAAGCATGGCACGCACAGTAAGGGTGGAGTTGACATGTGTGCAGATTGGTGAATCGTTTGATTGCATTTGATATCTTACAGTGGGATTTTATTGTCCCCCGGAGAGGGGACCTAATAAAATATGGCAGGCAGGTATCCGGTATAATGCATGTGTACCCAAAAAACTGTGTTAATAAATAAAGTATCTTGCAGTTGGAATTATCTAGAAGATAACTTAATGTGCAATGAAAATCCAGGTGTAATTCTAAAAAAATAAATGTAATGAATTAAATAATAATTTAATGGCGCGTAAACAATGATGATTATATCCACACTTTGATTGATACCAATAGCTCTGAATAGGTGTCTCTCACAAATGTATTCTGTAATATGAGCCTGATTAATATATTATTACAACCCCATTTAGCATTTGGTTTTAGTGCAGCATGTTCAGTTAAACATAACATCCACATGCTTAATTTATCAATAATATCAACATTGTTAGGAACTGTTTACATTTTATTTAGTATATCATACTTGGTCTCACGTGTGTTATGTATTTTTTCAGTTGGAACAGATGCATATCTTTAAGAGGAGAAAGAAGGAGGAATAGATTTCTTTATCACCACAATTACCATTGACATCAAGAGCAACACAAACTGAAACAGACGTTCAGATTTATTTTAACATCTGGTGGTCAAGCAATATACATTGCAAATGAAGAAACAGCAAGTCATTGCAGTGTTGTATATACAGTTATATAACATATTAAAGCTCTACACATCATCCTTTGGACACTTGCTGGAACAGGAAATGCTTGTAACCAGCAAGGCGTTGTAGAAAGTCCTGTGACATCTTGGGACTCTCAGATAATTCAGTAAGAATTTAGATGAGTGACCATGAATGAACATTTGTATTCCAGATGATACTGTTACAGTATTTTTTCAGGTTTAGCATCTGGGAAATGCAAAGAATGTTGATATGTTATGAGTAATTATGTCTTTGGAATAAAATTGCAGAACAGTTCTAAAACTTGTGTATTTTTTTTAAGTGTGGATAAAGCAAGCACAAATTGAATGTTTTGGAAGATTTATGCTTTTAGCCATGATATTGATTTGACAGTAAATATACAACGATGGATGAAGGAGATTAGATTTTCAGTGTATATAGCAAAGGTTTCCAAGTGAGAGAGTTGGGTTTTACACCGCTTTAGCAATATTCCAGCAACATCATGCTGGGGAGAGCAGCAATGGAGTTCACACTTTGCAGACGTGTGGGGAATCAAACCCGGGCCTTCAGTGTGACAAGTGTCAACAGTTTAACCACTAGGTTACCCTACTACTCCAGTTTCCATGAAACAAACATGCTTACCAATGAAAAGTTAAACTTAATCAATGGCATAGGCATGTGATTCTACATGACATGGAATTTTGTTGAAATATGAAATTCTTTGTTTTTATTTGCTGTAAGATTACAACACTGGTTCATAGCACAATAACCAGTACACATTATTCGTTTCCATTACTTTAAAACATATTGGTCTAACTGTATAGTGGAAAATATGGAATGCCAGTTACTTGGCCTCATTGGCAGAATATTTGGAATATATAAGTTACTAAAAATGGGTGAAAAACACTATATTACATGACAAGTAATCATACTCATGCTGCTATCAGCCAGTGTCTGCAGAATCTACAGTCATGACATGTCAAATATATGCACATTTAGTTTCCCTATGTATTGATCAGTATGTTTACAATACAGGAAATGTCTTTGAGTGATTACTCCATATTTTGAGTGTATTTGGTCTTGCATTTTTGCCAATTGTGACTTGAAGGTGCTGTGTGCTGCTTCATATTTTGCTTACAGCATAGCAGAACCTCACCCCTGCATAACCAAGTACTAAGTAACACTCATGTACTTTAGATCATAGTACATAGTTCGCTCACTCCAAGACATCTAGTACAAAGTGTAATAAATATTGTCCAACAGCCAGTTTTATATATCACCTCTAAAATAATGTTTACATTATTTGATAAATAATTGTTTCATGATGAATATTCATATGGCTGAGGGTTTTCACATTTTTGTTTTGAATATCTGACAGCAGTAACCGAAATAATTGTAACCATGCCATCAAGGTTATTTTGTCGAGCTGTTGATTGATTTGTGACACTATGTCTTCTTGTGTGAATAAAAACGTCACCATAAATGCGAAAGTTCATATATTTATGAAAGAAATTATAATGTTACAAGAACTGCTATTTATTCCAGGCATTGGGAAAGAGAGGGGCCATTTTGCACATTAGAATAAAAATGCCCCATTAAAATTTTGAAGTTTACTATTGATACAAGGGCAGTGGCCCATTCCAAATTCAGAAAATGGCTAATAATCCTGAAATTGTCGAAGGTCTCCATCCCAATCCCTGTATTCAATATATCATTATCAGTATATTTACAGCATGGCAAAGAAACAATTTGACACATGCAGGTCCCTGTTATTTATCCAAAGTAAACTTTATAATGCATTTTCTTTCACATTTGCAAAACAACAAACAATTTATTTCTTGTATCTTTGAGTCATTCTGTCACCTGAACTTGCATACAGTTATCCCTCGGACTTGGAAGAGAGTAAAATTATTAAGCCTACCAACTAGTTTACAATATATTTATATTATTACCTCAAGTATTTATACACATGCATTTTACATTGCATAAAGCCAATTGTCTCTATTGAATATTTTGTAACTATTCTAAATAAAAACAACTATGTTTTACATATCAATATTGATATTTGTTAGGAACTATTTGATTTCAAATAGTTCCTAACAAATATAAATATACTGAATATGTAAAAAATAGTTTTAATTTGGAATAGTTACAAAATATTGCTGCAGCATAAAAATGTATTTAGAAAATAAATAACAAATTAAAAAACAAAAATATTCTAATTTGGAATTACATTTTTTAATTGAAAAAGGGAAATGACAGAGTCTATGTCGTCAAATATGAATAGAACATCAACTTGATAAAGTTGGTAACACATGGCTGTTTTATGAATAGAAGTATATTAATTAATAGTTTTATTAATTCAATATAAATACAGATTACTCAAATGCATTTTACGTTAACCATGTCATTGATTCCCGAAATATGGTTTGTGACAAACACTGTCCGTGATACTGAAAAGAAACACGTTTAGCGATAGAACTGCACTGGTTGTCAAAAATATATTATAGCTAGAGAAAGGTACTCATATATTTTCGAATTGACTCATGGTTGTCGGTTGTCAGTAAGGAACCGATAATCCTTGAAGGAATAATAATTTTTCGATCTTATCGTCCCCAAATGATCCCATTATTACGACTGTCACCAGCTGTGACAGCCAAGCATGGTAGTACACTTGGTCCAGTCTAGTAAGGTCATATTAGGCGGTCGCGCAATTTGGCACCACAACTGGTTCTTGTGTATTCGCTTGTCACTGGAAATCTAGTAGCAGAAGTAACCGCTCGCGAGACTTACGGAAGTAGTTTATATACTGGGGGTATGAGATCACTTTCAAGAAAGGTCGCTGTAAAGCTTTATTTCATAAATAAAGCTTTTGTCAGGCCCTTAGATCTCGCCACCATTGTATATACTACTTTTGAATCCCCAGTTAACTTCCTGGTCACTATGACCGCGAACTAGCAGTTTCCTGATCACGTGGCACTATTGTGATCACCCTATGTCGTGTTGACCTCGAGGAAACAGTTTAATGTGAATCACTCGACAAGGTCAGTGTTAAATATTTCGCTTGGGTGGCAACATTGTGCCGTATGGTATGATCAATAATTCCTCTCTGACGAAACCTCTCCCTGGCCCATCTTTCAAGTAGTTCAAGTTCGGCTCGTCGGTTTTGATGTCCACTTTATTCTATGTTGTAAGTTTTGACTGACCATGTCGGGTCGGTGGCTCGTTTCCGAGTGTCCCCTTCGTGTTTCCCCGGCTGGTAGAGGTACCTCACGAGGGCCCTATCGGGTATCTGTTTCTCCTTCCCACGCGATGGTGCAGCCGGTTCGGCCGTCACTGATTTCAGTTTGATAGCCTCGGCTGGTTTCTTGCCAGTGAGACGGGTGGTTTCGTGGTTGATAGCCGACACCACCTGAG